CGGTATTCATGAGGATTCTCAGAACAAAACGAAGTTTGCTGAATTGCTCAGTACCACTCCACTAAGAGCGGCGATGAGCTGACCAGCCTGAAAGATTATGTGACCAGGATGAAGGAAGGTCAGAATGACATCTATTACATTACTGGAGAAAGCAAGAAAGCAGTTGAGAACTCCCCATTCTTGAGAGGCTGAAGAAGAAGGGATATGAGGTGCTATTCATGGTTGATGCTTTGATGAATACGCTGTTGGCCAGCTTAAAGAATTCGAAGGCAAGAAGCTAGTATCTGCTACAAAGGAAGGCCTCAAACTCGACGAAACTGAGGACGAGAAGAAGAAGCACGAAGAATTGAAGGCGAAATTTGACGGACTGTGCAGGGTTATCAAGGATGTTCTGGTGACAAGGTTGAGAAAGTTGTGGTCTCCGACCGTGTAGTTGACTCTCCTTGCTGTCTAGTAACTGGTGAATATGGTTGGACTGCAAACATGGAGAGAATTAAAAAGCACAGGCATTGAGAGACAGTAGCATGGCTGGTTATATGTCTTCCAAGAAGACCATGGAGATCAACCCTGAAAATGCCATCATGGAGGAGCTGCGCAAGCGTGCAGAGGCAGACAGGAATGACAAATCTGTGAAGGATCTGGTTCTGTTGCTGTTCGAGACTGCTCTTCTTACCTCTGGTTTCAGCCTTGATGAGCCCAACACTTTCGGAAACAGAATCCACCGGATGCTCAAGCTCGGACTGAGCATTGATGATGATGCTGGGACGGTGACGCTGACATGCCCCCATTGGAGGATGCCGATGCTGATGCGAGGGCAGCAAGATGGAAGAAGTTGACTAATTCTCACAAGCCATTTTATCTTTTTAAATGTTTTGTGTTTCTTAATATTAGCGAACGGTAGTCTATTTTTGGGCTGAGCTTTTTGGTTCTTGTGGTTTTAAATGACAGTATTTTTATATGCAATTAGCCTCTAAAGTTATCATAATCTAATATGGTCATTTCTCCTCTATTATTAACGCCTTTCTCACAATATCCGTTATTGCCCTGTGAAATCTGTCTCTTTGATATTAGCCAAGTGGTGAGAAATCGAGGCGGCGCTTCTGCTTCGGTAAGCTTTTGCGTTTAGATGGCGAGTTTAATCTGCTTTCCTCAATTTTGATGAAAAATTATTAATCGATGTTGTCAATGGTCCGTTTTCTCCATGTAAGTGGTGGGTTTTTTTGTGTAAATCATAATTTTATGAGATTATAATTACATGTGCAATTATATATTATTTTAGTTTTATTTGGGAACAAGAAGTATCAAAATATGAATCGAGATTTGGAACTGAATTATCTAAATTCGTTTAAACACTCTCAATTTGAGAACTAACAACAACACAATAATAATAAATGGCGTTCTGTTACAGTAAAAATTGGAAGGAAAAAAGAAGAAAGAATTACAATGTGGTCTTAACAAACAAAATATAATTACAAAATAAGTTTTAGAAGTTTCATTTCTTAATCTGTAACTTGTTATTATAGGTTGTATAAGTTGTTATTAGGATTTTATAGTAATTTTTTTTCCGGGACTCTATTGTAATTCTCTAGTTAAAAAGTTTTCCATATCAATAAAACTTTCAATGAGATTTTAACTCTCTATTTTCATTTTATATATTATCTCTAGTCTTTAATATAAAAACTAGTTTATTATATTTGAGTAAATTAAGAAAATTAGTTATATTAGTTACTTGTAATAAATATATATTATTTTTTTAAAATATCTTTACTATTCAATTGTATTGCTAGAACTATCATTATTACAATAATTATTTTTTAAAAAATAAATAAATATAATAGATAAAATATATTAGAATTTTATATTTATGACTAAACATATAAGTCAAACAAGCTGAAGACAAGAGGTAGTACATATATTTATTCTTTAAAAGCAAAATTGGTCATCATGGTGGTCAACGGTTGAGCATGTCGATTGAGCGGCCAAGACAGTGTCTTTTTTTTTCTTTTTATAGGCAAGGTCAAGACCATTTTGATAATTTGATGTATAGACATGTCTAGTGAATAAAAATTATATAAAGATTCCATTGTCATGCTAAAAACATGTTTTATATTCCAATTCCGATTCTGTTTCCAATTCCATGAAAAAAAATCTTTCCAAAGCCTTATGAAAGAGCAAGATTCTTATCAGGATATTCATTCATTCGCACGTGCAAATGCTGTTATTTTTAGGAGGACAACATTAGGACAAATTTGGCAGGAAAAAGAGTACTTTTTCTGGCCCTCAAATAATGAAATAGAGTAGTGAGGTCAACTCTTTGACCAAAATTTTACTTTTACAACCTGCTCCTTATATTATAAACTATATTAATTCAACCAATTTTCTTATTTGTTACAGGGTAGTATAAACTTCTCAAATATGATACATGAAAACTGCTGCACAAAAAAATAAAATAAAGATACCTTTTTGTTTTTGATCTCTGGTGCAGTTTGTTTTGTAAACTTTTATTCTGGAAATTAATAAATTGCTTCTTTTTAAAAAAAAATATAAAATATAAAATTCACACCAAGTTTAATTCCTCTAATTTGTTAAGGAAAAATCGATAAATATAATTTTTAAAAAAACAAAAGAAAGAAGTTTCACTAAATCACATTCTTGCCTCTCAAAAATAATTCAAATTACAAATTAAACCTGAAAGAGAAAAAAATGAATGTATTTCCAGGATCATTCACGCTTAAATACAAATGCACAAAACCAGGTATCTCTCACTCTTCATCTTCATCTCCTGCAGAAATATAATGACCAAAGCAAGGAAATCAAGAGGAAACTCTAAAGCCTGCTGCAAGCAAATGAATCTTTGGCAAGATGAACAGACAGAAACTGGAGCTTCAAGTATCATCTACTTGTGAATGGAATACAAAGCTTGGGAATGTTGTGGGATGTCCCTGCTCAAACACATGTAAGATCATGTCAGATAGGCCCGTGAAAATTAGAAAAAGAAGAAGGCATGGTAGAAATTCACAAAGCATGTATCATAATTTTCTTGGATGTGGGAAATCAAATGCAGCCAGTATCACTTGACTCTTAGTGAGTATTGTTTTAGGGTTTAGGATTTAGAATTTCAGAGAATTAGTCAGATTTGATTTCTGATGAACTGGGGATATTTAAAAAAATTTATAATTTAAACATTACTTCAGATATTGAAGGGTCATATTCTTCAAAAGTGAGGGGTGGCGTAAAACAAGGTTTCTCCATTCCTCTTTGTCAATTTTGCCATCGTGCTTTGTATCTGCTTCCTCAAAAGTCTGGAGAAATAATAATAAGAAAAATTAACAGCTGAAACTTTCTGATATGGTGAAAAAGGCCTAAGCATAAGAGAAAGAAAGAATAGAGAATCACCTTGTCGATTATACTTTCTATTACATCATCTGATAGGTTCATGCCAGATTCAGCAAGTGTAGCTACTACCATTTGCTTCACCTTTAAAGAAGATGCCAAACTAAATTAGACATGGCCAATCCGATAAAACAATAAAATAAAATAGAAATTTAGTATTTACCTCCTGCCTTTCAATAAAACCTTGTTGCTTGAGATCATACAGTTGAAAAGAAACTGAAACACAAGATTATGTGGTTTTAATTTTTCCTCAAAGTAACTTCATCTAAGCTGATTATATGAAGTAAATATTTTTAAAATACATTCAATCTTTTCATCGATAGGGGCATTCGGATGGAAAACGGATAAAGCACGAGCAAATTCTTCAAAGCCTAGTATCCCATTGTGCTTCGTGTCAAACAAATCAAATACCTAATAGAATCCACGCAGAGAGAAGCTCACATAAGAATTCAACCAGATGATGTCATATAAATGGATGCAAGTAAACAAATATGCAAGGAACCACAAAAAGGAAGTTCAGCATCCAAACTACACAGGAACATGTATAAGCAAACAATCTAAGAAACGTGTACCACGTAAGCAAAGCTTCAAGGTGCAGTATCTCAATAAAACGTTAACTAAATTAAAATCATTAAATATCGATTTTCAAGTTAGTCAGTAAACATTGAACCATGCATGCACGGACAGCCCCACTCCTCCTTGTTATAACAACATTTAAGTACAAAACAGAACATAATACTTATGTTTGATAAGCCATTGATGCCAGTCTATGAAATATACACACATATATATAATATTTCATTATCAGCATATAAATGCACGCTCAGGAATTCAGATTTCTTCCTCTCGTTTATTTCTTGGCCAAAAAGGAAGAAAAGTGGTAAAACGGAGGACCAGAATTGGTTATTCAAACTGATTAGAAATGCAAAACAAGGATGTTTTGCAACTTATAAGAGCACACAAGAGCCCATAATAACAACCATGTTAGAGGAAAAACTGAAAAGTGAACCAGCTTCCAAATAGAATTTCTATCACAAATTGATGGTACAATTTCTATCACAAAACAACAATGGGGGAGCTAACTCAAGGCTTATAATGTGTCCAAAATACTATGTCAGATGATCAAAAACAAAACCTTGTTAATCAGCCCATCATCAATCACCGCACAGCTGATTTCTTAAAAGCTCATAAAGTGCTTCTATTTCACTTACACTGACTGCATAAAAGTGCAAAAACAAAAGCTTATCTTCAGTACAAACAATGAGGAGTTACTTTCAAGATATTAGTGTTGCAGGTTTACGGAATCAGTTAACAAAAAAGAAAAGAAAAGACCGCATTCCTTTTTGTTTCCTTTTCTTCATACATGCACCACCAATTACATGGTCTCAAACCCAAAAGGGAAACATAAAGTACAGAATGAACTTTTCATCAGAAGGCAATGATTAACAAATCAGCAGTGTATTGTAATGTCATGACAACGAAGTAAAGTCAACTCTTACAGACTGTCTCCCTTGCAAGAAGTTCGGGATCTTCAAGGCCTCTTGAGCTGCTTATCGAGGTCAAAGCAACGCAATAAGGAAGCAAATAAATGCTAAGAGCCTCTGCACACGGCAACATGATATCTCCAGCAATCAAGTCCCTCCATAACTGTTTCAAAAATAAAGGAGTTAGATATTCCATTTAATTCTCCTTGTAAAGACATTGTAAGTTTGTAACTATAGGCAGACGGCGAGTGAACCTTTTAACCATTTCTGATTCTTCTAATGAACCCGGACGAACCCCAAAGCCAAGAAAATTTAAGGTAGCACTGCAAAGAATGGTTGTGTTCAAGATTGAATACAAATCCATCAGATACTGGCAGTAGAAAGTGCTCAAAAGTAAAACACCAAAGAACAAGTTCCATGACCAGAACTCACATCATACTGGAAGAAGGCTTTTCCATGTTGCTTCCCTTTCTCTGAAGCTTATGGAGTCAAGCAGACAATCTTTGCATTTCATAAGTTTACTTATACACATGCACAAAATTACATATCCTTGCTGCCATATTAATTTCAGGAACTATAAACAGGACACCAAAACAATGCCAGGCGAAAAACAGGAAGACTGGTCACTGGAGGTACCAAAAAAGTTTTCAAATCCTACCATGGAACACAAAATAATTGAAAAATCACTGCATAGGGACTTTTGAGACTGTACCCAAGACATCGGTTCTGTTCCTACTAGCGCACTCTTGGACACAACCACTTTATAGAACAGAGAATGAATATACTTATTCCTTATCTGAGTAAATTTAACACATAAACCCATAAAAACTCAACCAACAAATTATCGAACCGCGTTATATAACCACAGATGATAACATAAAAATTTGTGGCGAAAAAGCAGCAACTAAATCTCCACCATGCAGCGAGGCCACAGATCAAGTCCAAAAGTTAAACACGGATCCATGATCCCACAAATAGCTTCACACTGAAAACATGATAAAATTGCCTCAGAGAGATCCCAGATTGAAATTCATCAGCCCCCAAGAAAAGTTTCCAATTTTCTAAACTTCGTAACGGCCATAAATTCGCACTCAAAGAAAACTCGAAAACTGAAACATTGACCGCCACCGGAGAATCCAAAAGGAGAAAGATTTTAGAGAAAGCTCAAGATAACCATGTTGAAAAATAAGATGTTATCATATATTCAGATTTCTAGCCAATTAATCAAAGCCGGTACAGAATTAAGGGGGGGAAAATCTCACCTTGGCACTGGGGGATCAACCGAAGACCGTAAGAGTTCCAAGTGTTGATTAAGAGTGTTGAAGCAGTCTTCGTCACAGGGTTCTCTGCAACTACAACCTCCGGTTGAATGCAACAAGGAATCCCTTCGTAAAGGTAACGATGATAGATGACAGATAGGTTACAACTTGGGATGATAAATTGCTATCAGAATAATAAAATTAACTACAAGGCCACACTAGGTTAGCCAGGGCCTGGGGGGTGAATATCCTTCTGTTTATGCCTTAATTTGGAATATTGATTGGTTTAATATATATATATATATTTTATATTTTTGAAGGCACGTCTCCCCAGATGAATCCATACATATCTAATTATCTCCATGTGGGATTTGCTTGGTTGAAGAGAAAGAAAGGGAAGTCTTTTTTTTTTTTTTCTCTCACTGGAAATATCTAAAATTGAAGTTATATGTATTTTTATTTTTATTCATTTTGTTGACTATAAGATAGTAGCTTTAAAATGTTAGAAATCCAACTTTTTAGATAATTAGAACAGAATGATAATGCAAAATTTAAATAGATTTATCTTTTCGAACATTTTAAAAAATTTCATATTCTATCCTTAAATTATATACTATTTTCTATGATATGATATTATTAGAATGATTTTTTATTTCTTAATTAAATTTATAATATTAATTTGAATCAGTATTGTTTCGATTAACTTTCTCCACTTAAACGGGATTTTGATCACACATTCAAATCAATATCTAACCTACTTCCACAGGTTTTCAACATGATAAAAAAAATTATTACTTGAAAAATAGTTTAAATATTTTAGAAAATAAAATATAAAACAAACCATCAATCAACCCTAATCCTTCTTAAAACTAGGAAGAAATTCAAACGATATTTGGTATTACTGAGTTAAATTCAAACTTTATGAAGCCAAAACAAAAATAACTCTCCTAAGAATGTCTTTTGCATTGTCAATACACAATTACCCACCTAAAATATTTTATAACTAGTGATTTGCATAATTATATATTGATAATAAATATATATATAGAAAGTCACTTTTTAAAAGAATATTTTGAACATAAATATCTGCTACTGTGCCAAAATTTATGGAATAGGAGTTTCTTCATTCCAAATGTGCTCTTTCTTTAAAAATTCTAAGGAGAGGATAAAGATACATTTTAAATTTATGATATTTATTAGAGATGGATATAAAAAATCAAAGCAATTTCTTAATAATTTTAAATTTTATCTCTGCAAGTTTCTTTTACTAAATAGATAATATTATATGATTTTTCATTCTAATAAAAATTAATGATATCATAAATTTAAAATAAAATTGCACCTTGATGAAACCGTATGTACAATTCATAAGAATATGATGTTTCAATTCATACGATTTCATTTTAATATGATGTTTCATTCTAAATTTAAATAAAAATTACACCTTGATGAAACCGCATTACAATTCATAAGAATATGTCGAAAAAATTATAAATTTAAAGAATAAATGAATTGAAATTAAATATTTAACATAAATTCAACTCTACACTCTCTAGTATAATTAATAATATAATGTCTTTGCTCTAATTATTAAAAAAAATTCAAATGATGGTGTACTACGGCAAGTTTGTACAGCCGTACAATCGTAAGTACTTTTTCTCCATATATTTCTCTTGACCTATACCATCTCTCTCCATCTCCGACGACGGACTAGCTCCATGCTCAGTTCAACTTCCAAACGCCATAGCTACAAGCATCATATCTTCAAATCAAGCTTTTTTGTTTCCATTACTGCTCTGCTCTAAACGCCAATAGAGAAGTTTGTAAGAGAAAATTTGGAGAACTTGAATTAACGATTTTTAAGTTGTCAGGTTGTAGTGAGAGAAGAGGGACCATAGGAGGTGAGAAGGAAGAGCGGCGCCAGGAATCCATTTGGTAATACGAAGAAAGAGTGTGCACACCGATAGTATCTCTATGTATTTAAATAAAATTTTATAAGGGAAAAAAAAAGTTTGGTGGCATTTTCTTACTGAGCGTCTCTTTTGCTATGAGTTCCTATCACGTGCGCCTTATTTCCCATCGAAGGACTTAATAATTAATTAATAACAAATTTTTTGTACACTTATATATTTTATTTAGTGTCTGGTTCCGCACTGCACATTCACGTCAAGGGCATATTAAATTTTTTAAAAAAAATTAATTATTTAAAAATATTCATTTTTTTTAAAAAGAAAAATGAATACGAGTCAATAAGACATCTATCGGGCAAAATCAAAATATTCTACCAACTTTGAGAGGGAAAATTATATTTTGTTGTTGGTAAAACATTTCGTTCTTTTTTTTTTTTGTCGCCACAATTAAAATTTTTGCATTACATGCCAAGAACGTATTTGAATATTTGAATTTGCTAACGCTTTTTCTTAAAAATAATTGAATGACGTAACGCTTGTGCGTATATAGAATATTTATATGCCATAACGTTTTTCTTTTTTAAAAAAAAAAAGTTCATAGGATGAATGGTCTCCGATTACCAAACGCTAAAATGCAACTTGAATATTTACAATTACATTAATAAATGCAATTTGCGTATTTCTTGTAAATGTTCTCCAATATTCAACTTGGCAACTCGGTGTTAACTAATTATTAAAAGTTGCGAGAATGAATATGAATTCAAGGCAAAAAGGTTATGATTCACATGCGAAAATGGCCAGTGGAAACACTGCCGTATCTACCTGATCAATTAAGGCGGCCTCTATATTAAATTATTAATTCGTATGAAATATGAATAATTCGGTCACAAAGCAGAATTTTTTATTCTCTCAGATGAGGAACTCACGAGATGTGATTTACACAAAAAGGTTTAAAATAAGCCAACAAATATGCCATTTCTCTCTCTACTTTTAATGTATTTCACACATGCTTATCGATTACAAGGGATGCAACTCTGTGGCGTTCATCTGCTCCAACCAATTTTGAAGGAGTTCGCCGCCTTCTCCAAAAAGTGAAACTTAAAAGACATCTCACGGCTTCTTTATTGTTATTTTAAAATATGAAACTCAAAACACAAGAGCCAGCTTCATAAAAATTAACACAAGCTAAAAGCAATGATGTTTCGCATCCATCTGTAGTTTTCGAAATGATATCTCAGAACATAAACAATGATGCACATCATATGATACTTGGATTATCTTGAATTATGTCTGTCCCCTAAATTATAAAAGGATCAAACATGCATCATCTTGGATGTTACATCTATTCAAGATACCAAATCAAAATGTCAGGATTACAAAAAGCTTCAACCACGTTCAGTAGGCACTGAATAGCCAAGGGAAGGAGCATTAGAAATTAACATGACGTGTGATTCAGCACATTACTCTATACCCATTATTATAATCAGATATTCTTACTGGATCCTGATATGCACTCATTTCATTCCAGGGTTGAGTCCCCAACACAGTTCAATTTGAAAGCTTGAGAGTAGATTGATTCAAAATTATGCTGGTATTAATCAATTTCTTAAGAACAATACACTAATTAACCACTATCATCTATAGTGGGTATATATGAGTAAAAGAATTAAGCAGCAACAAAAAAAAGGACGCGCTTTATGTGAAACCGGAGGTTGCTAGTCTTCACCTTCTTCTTCGGTTATCTCTGTAAGATCCTTCACTTTCCCTGTCCTTCAAGAAGCCTAGAAAGGCAAGAAAGCCAAAAAAGAAGAAGCCACCGGACCAATTGCCTCCGCCCCCACCTCCTCCACCACCACCATCGCCATCATCACGGGGTGGAAATCCAGTACCACCATCATCAAGTTGAGGTGATTTCTCCTTACCTGAAAATTCAGTGAACCATGGTATGTCGGTCAAAGGAACATGCTTCACAAAGAGATACATTTCGATAAATGTTTCAACAGTTTCTTAATACTATTACTACTCATAGAATGAACAGGCCCTTAATTACAAATTAAATGACGTTGATAAAATGTTTTGAGAAATGGGAGAGTATAGCTTCAACAACCAGAGAAAATGATCTCTGGTGGAAAGCACACAAAATACGATTATTGATAGTTATAAATGATGTAACCCAGTTGTGCTTAGGGGCAGATAAAAACTTTAAGAAAGAACGGAAGGAAGAAAGATGTCAGAAATAAGCAATCACCAGGAATATGTGTCATTGTAGGAGCCTGGCGAGTGACAGTTTGTGTTTGTTCCGCCCCACATCTTGCATTCTACATAATTGGGAGGCAAATATTATAAAAATGCAATACTCCAGCATTGTCTTCTACATGATACAATCTAAAGTGTAAGCATTCACCGTGCGTGCGTCCATGTAAGCTCCAGCGCACAAGCATGCAGTGGTACAAGTAAGAGGTCTTGAAGAAATATTTAAAGAAACGACTGATCTCTAAACCCCTCTAGACATTGACAGTCGTTGATAACTCATTGACCAACAACAATTATGCTATATAATTCCAATTCAACCCAGCTATATTGTAATACTGAACCTCAAGCTGAAGCTGAAATTTGACAACAAAAGGTAAAATTGAATTTGGGAAACACGTGATGAGGACAGAATACACAAAACCCCTACCCGACAACTTTATTCCAACATATAAAAGAAATGAAAGGCTACTGGACAATACAACCATTTCAGCGAAACGGGCACAGAAGAAAAAGGGACATACCAAAGCTGCGGCACATATTACAGTTGCAGTTCGTGCATGTGGAGATCTTGTATTATAAAGAACATGTGTACATTTCAGTACTCCTGAATGATTCGTCTTCTGTAATTCTCTTTTGCTGTCATAAGGGTAGCATTGCAGGCCAAATCTTGGTAGATTGAATCTAGTAACATTAGTCTCTGCAGCGTAGCCACCTCTTCTCACTATTCACAAAAGCAAGATCTTTTCACTATGATTGGAAGAGTTAAAAACTGATCATGCCTCCAATCACTTCAACCACAGAAAGATAAAATCCATTATAGATTTATTTTTTTAAGAACATGTTTAGGTGAGTCAACAAACATTGTACAACCAAAACCTTCACATTAACTTGATCCCAGCTTAGTGGTGCAATCAACAACCAGATGCATTCTTTGAATGTTCTTAATGCATTCCAAAAGCAGACGCATCCTTTTTTTTTTTTTGGGGGGGGGGGGGGGGGGAAGGTGTTGATCCTTTGATCCAATAGCAATAAAATAAGCTGTGCATCTGATTCACTTCCAGGCAGGTGAAACTAAAATCA